TCCCAAGCCACAGCCCCCAGTCCTGCTGGTGCCCCTGACTCCTGACCCCCAGCCCTGCCCCTACGAGCACAGCCACCGGCCCTGCTGCAGCCTTGGACTGACCCCCCCCCACAAGGCCCTGACCCTGCTCCACACACACATGCCTGCACCCCCCCATCCCCCAAGTCCTGGCCCTCCAACCCCTGCCCCCCACAGCCTTACCTGTATCCAGCTGCTGGGGCTGCTCCCACCCCGCTACCTGGCTGCGTGCCGGCCATGTGTGTGTGCGCCCTGCCTCCAATCTTCCTACCCCCGCCCCAGCAGCTCCTTGCTAGGGCAAGCTGGGAAGTGCTGGGAAAAACTTTCAAGCTGAGCAGAGCAAAATCCCAAACATTTGATTATATTTTTTAAAAAGCCACCCGGACGGAGATCGGAGGATCTAAAAAGAGGACATGTCTGGGAAAACGGAGGTGTATGGTAACCCTAGTAACTTACTGTGCCGTTCTCATTGTCAGCAGAGGCAAAAGGGATTATGCCTGTAGGTGCCAGACTCCCCAGGCTCCCCGCCCAGTGCAGTATCCTGAATTTCCGTCAAGCGTCAGGACAGCTTGCAGAGGCATGTACTCTCAGCAAGGAACTGAGGGGAAAGGAGCAGTCCAGGTGACCTAATGCTAGCTTCCCATGCTCCTGGCTGAGAAACGCAGCAGTTTCTCAGCTACTGTCACTCCTGATAACAGATGGCTCATCTGGTAGAGCATGTAGTCAGACTTTATCTATTCCTTTGCAGCTTAGTCATCCGACAAGGGTGCTCGCAATGGCATTTTAGATCTTCGCTCTATACATGTCATTCTGTACAGGATTGGTCATTTGCTGGGAGTGACTCCTTCCTTACTGCACAAAGCTATTTACTTTGCAACGGCAGACTTCCCGAGAGATTTGGCAGTTTTTTGTCTGTTTAAAAACGATTGCATCTACTTACCTTTGCCTCCTTTTGCACAGTTGAAGTGGAGAGGAAAAATCTTTTGGATGGTTATAAGAAGAAGAGGAGATTCCAGAAAGCAATATAATAGCTAGCTAAAGAAAACTCTGGTATGTCTCAGCCTGCACGGTAAAAGATCCAAACAGCTGGGAATACGTGCAGCATCCACAAGCGTTTTCACGCCAGGAGCCCGAGTGCCAAATTAACGACAGGTAGTCGGGAGAGTCAGCAGCAATAGAGGAAGCTCAAGAACAAATACCGGGGAGACATTTTCTCCCTTGGAAACAGCTCACTATTCCTGGGAGGCAAAACAAAGGTATGCACTGAGGAAATCTAGGATCCCAGGCATGTGGGATCTTGTTCTGTGCTCACAGGAGACAAAACCCCAGATAACAGCCTCTTTGCAAACAGAACAGCAGAAAATGGTGGATTGCTTCACACGTATCACCGGCACCAAAACTTCCCCCTTCTGCAACCCGTGCTGCAGAGTGTTTCGAGCTCTTTTTTAGGAGAGAGCGCAGTCCTTCCTACCCAGGGAAAATGACCTCACTCGGTAATTTTAGCCTTCAGTTAATGCACAAAAGCAGCCATTTAGCAACCTGCTTTGTGTTTCTGCATTTCTAGAGATGCCCTGAATGATTTTGGACAAGTCCTGAGGCTCAGTTTTCTGATCTGCGGAAGGCGACTAAAGCTCTCCGCAAGTGGCAGTGAGTTATCCCCTTCATTTTGGACATTTGTGACTGTATCACGACTACCGCAGTAGTAATGGTTAGCACATGCATAAGCACCCGCAGGATCGAGGCTGAAATTTATCGGACCAACTCCATCCCTGCGCACGCAAAGAGATATAGCTTGGGTTTCTCTGCACTGTGGTGTCCTGCTGCGCTTCAGGGAGATTGACCTGGCATTTGGCTAGGGGAAAGCAGCTTTAATCTCTTTGGGGACCCCACCTGCACTCATACATCTGCTCTGCACTCTTTGATGAATCAGAGCACTTGAATACTCTTGACACTTGGATATGGGCCTGCAAACCTTCACCTATGTGTACAGTTCATAGGCTTTACATCTCATGAGCAAAAGGACAGCGGGAGTGGGAAAGACAGGCCTCTTTCACACTATCTTTATAGCTCTCTGGTCTCTCTGCAGTGGCATGTGCCTACTTCAGCTGTCCAGCCATGTTCTTCCAGAACATTATAAACCCCTCTCTCCAGCCCAAACTGCACCCATCAGCTGTTAGTTTAATGCTTATGACTTTTCTTCCTATTATTAGCACCTGTGGAGTCCATTGTTTCCAGTTAAAGCTGCCCCAGTCCTCTTAAGAAGGAATCCTATCTGCACATCAAGATGGCTTAAGCACATTTATAGAGACAGGTCACTCTTTTTCACCCCAGCTATCACAGAGAGACAGACTGGACTCCAGACCTGGTACAGAAATGTCGCACACAGAAATGAGGGCATGATCTTTGAGAGGGACGTGCTAGATTGTAAGCTGTCTGGTACAAGGCTCCGTGTTTTCTTCTAAGTCCAAAGAGCGCCTGACTTGAAGGACTTTGATCTTTGATTGATTGGGGTCCTTACACGGTACCTTTATAATCAGAACAAGAGATAGCAATTGTGTTCAAAGCAGTCAAAGTTCTCTCTCTCCCTGGGATGGGCTTTATCAGAGCATGAGGGACGCACAGATTTGGGGTAGATCTGTGAGGCATTATTTCTTGTTCAAAATATATTTTTCTTTTCTAAAAATATTTTATTTTTCTTGTGTAGGAATTCTGTTGTTGGTTTTTTTTTTAAAATCAGAATCTCACCTACACACCAGCAAGAGAGAAAGAGCTACAAGCGCCTAAATCAGTTTTGCAACTGGGATGTGGATCCTGAGTCATTCAGGCATTCGGGGCAATCACATCATCACTCCAGCACCCGCTGGCATAGCATGGTGTTATGTGAATACCTTTTGGTGGCTGCTGCACCTGTGTTGGGTTCTCATGCATATTTGCACCGGGGTTCACATTTTTATGGAAACAGGAACTTAGTAGCCGGATTCTTTCCCAGTTTTCTCTGGTTCTATCTTCCCTCCCGTCATAAACAGCTCAAGCTCCCTGGCAGGTTGGGGCATGCACATCTCAATGGGAGGTAAGAGCAGTGTCTCATCTGAGCCCAGAGCACATTCCTTTCATTTACATGCAAAAGTCAGGCTGCCTCTTGCCTGTTCGCCTGCGCCAACTTGGATGTCTAGTGACTCAGCTGCAGCAGGAGGAGGAAAAAGGGTCCCACTCAGACTAGCCTCAAGGCATTCTCCCAAGAAGTGGGACACGTACTTGAGAGCTCCCTCAGACTGAGGAAGGGTCTCCCTCTGCCTAGGTGAAACTTTTGCAATTGGGAAAAGGCAAGTGGCTTCACCACCAGTGTGGGTGATGGAAATGTCCCATGTGCTGGGCTGACCCAGGGGTGTCCAAGCTTTGAGGAGTGGGACTTCAGACACTCCCCTGTGCTTTGCACTTCCTATTTCTTCACTAGAAGCCCCCCGTGCAGTCTACATTGGCCTTTGGAGATAGCTCGCTCTCTCCTTTGACTGTACGGGGAGCCTCAGCGGCTAATGCTATTAGTTAGGATCGCCTCCCTAGGGGGAGATGCCTCACTTTTAGGTGTTGCAATGATAAAATGGAGGCACATGCTAGACCTATCTGTATGTGGCCCATAATTCCCACTGATTTCAGTGGGAATTTGGGACCGAAAATCCCATAGATATGATTCCAGAAAGCAATATAATGCATTCTTAGGTACATACATCCCTTTAAAACTATGGCCCTGAGGCCCTTTATAAAATGGGTCTCCAGCCCCTAAATCACTTAGGAGCTTCTGAAAATGTTGCCCATGAGCTCGTTTTCACTGAATGAGATTTATTTTTAAGTAAAAAAATTGCAAAAGACTGCAATTATTTTTTACCAAAACTGACCTATTTTGCAGTCCCTAAAAAAGGAATATAGTCTGCTATTTCCAGTAGTTTAATTTAACCTTGTGACTATCTTATATGCTTCAAAGGAAGCCTGGAGTATCAAAATCCAGTATGTGTGTCAGGGCTGAAAAACTACCGTTACACATTCATGTAGGATAGCTTTGGGATGCCAACAATTCACAGAGTCAGGGAAAAGTGGTGTGCCTGTGATGTGATGATGGGAATTGAGGCTTTCAAATTCTTTGACATGGAAGTATTAATATTAGGAAGCATTTTGATCCTGCCTGAAGTCTGCTCCTGCCTGAGGCGCAGCTTTGGAACATCTGAAGGTCTCTGTGAAGCGTACGTGGGAATCTCCTAATGATCTTAGTTATTTTTATCCGAGTCTGATACCATGTTGCACTGATTTAACTAAGCAAACTCATTCCAGGATCCTCCAGCGAGGCAATGAAATCATAAGGGTGAGCAGAACCAGCAGGAAGGAGGGGAGAGAAAGACGAAGAGAAGGATTAAAGCAAAAGGAGCAAAAGGTGGTTAAAATAACTTTCAAAGCAAAGGCGGAAAAGACTAACCCAAGAAGAAACAGAAGTAAGAGAACATAGCTGAAGGGGGGGAAAGGAACAATACAAGCAACAGGACTTTTCTGCATTTTTCTTTCCTTTTCTTATCCCGTCTTTCTTTCTTGGGGTTTTGCGACTCAGCATGGGACAAAGGTTTACAAACGAGGAAGGGGACCAGGGAGATATCGATGTGGCCGAGTTGCAGGAGTGGTATAAAAAGTTTGTGGTGGAATGTCCCAGTGGGACGCTCTTCATGCACGAATTCAAACGTTTTTTTGGAGTCCAAAATAACAAGGAAGCTGCGGATTATATTGAGAATATGTTCAGAGCCTTTGATAAAAACGGGGTAAGTGTCCTAAATCGAGTAGTGATGCAGGTCAAGTAGATCAATGACTATTCTTGCTTTCCTTCTGAAGTATGGCAATTGCTTTGGTTCACTGTAACACATTATTATTTTTTAATGAAACTAAAGTAAAGTCAGTGATACATTCACCAAGGACAAAGCATGGTGGCCCCATAAGGACCTTCAGTGCTTCCCATACCTAACTGAAATTGCCCCATTTCGTACTGAGCTATATCTGAAACCTCAGACCCAGCGAAGGTCAAAATATTCTCTTACACGTGCCCCAGGTTGGATTGAGATGCCTTGACAGTTTTGCCCAAACTTCCTCAAACAGTAGAGCCAGAAGAGGAGATAAACTCTGAGAAGTTATTTTCCTCTATGAGAAGTTATTTTTCCCTCATGGTACAGAAGGACGTACAGTGAATGAAAGTGGAACAAGTGTCCTACATTATTTCTGCGCATTAAAATGTCCAAACTGCTGCCTCTCTTTTTGAGAAACTAGTGCTTGGAGTTGATATATAGCAAGTAAAGTAACTTTTCTTGGGCTGCACCCGAAGTGCACCAAAGTCAGTGGAAAGAGGCATTTGGACCAGGTCTTGTAAGAGATCCTCACAGCAAGTATTTAATATATAACTAACTCAAAGCACGTGTGGACAAAATAGGAGAACGCAGTGCTCTGCTCTCAGTCACGCTCAAGCACTGCCCAAATTTGCTGTTTGGGGACTAATCCCGTGTTGAGATTATCGTTACCGGTTCAGATTCAAAGCCTCTCACTCGTTCTAAATAGTTCTTAGCACTGAAAGTAGTCCCACTGATCTCACCCCTCATTTGACTTGCAAAGCAAGGTGGCAAAATTGTGCTTATTTGATTATTTATCTGTTATCCAGCAGAAATGTGCAAGACACAAACTGCGCATCTCTGCCCTGAGGAGCTTCCAGATACTTGCTCTGTTACTGCAAGGGATTTTTATTGCCGTGGCAATATGTGGCCCTTGATGATGTCCACTGCAATTAAAAGTCACCCCTGATGTTCTAATATCACTATTCATAATAGGCCGATAAAGGGGGTTTTTGTTTAGAGATGCATAATTGTCAGGGGACAGTATAGGAATCTACGCTGGGAAGACCAACCTGTCTTGTTAATCGCAGTTATGTTATAGACAGGAAAAACATTTTCATGGTGCTCTACATGCCAGTAATGGTGGGCAGGAGGAAGTTAAGCAATATTTGATTTGAAAGCCTCCAGAAGTGAGAGGTGGTTTGAATAATAAAAACATTATGTGCTTGACTGTCCATTGCCTTGCACCTCGTGTCATCTATTGCAGAGGTCCAAAGTGGGTCTAAAATGCTCCTGTTCCCACTTGGTATCATTTTCTGCCCACCATGTATTCCCTTTTTGCTGGTGAAATGACAACCAGCACTAGATCAGAGGTTTGCAGACTTCTTCTTGCATACTCCCGTCCAGACTTACCAGTTGCCTGTCTACCCCTACCAACATGCGTTTTATATTTTAAGTCCTTTAATATTATAATGAAAATGAAATTTGCCATTACACAATTTCTCCTACGTACCCCCTCCCCTCCCCCCGAAATGTCTTGCATACCCCCAGGGGTACACACACCACAGTTTGGGAACCCCTGCAGTAGATGACACAAGGTCTCTACTTCTAATTTGTTGCACTAAATGTTAACGTTTTCCAGCATTTTAGGCAGGCAGGCTGGCAGACCAGAAAGACAGACAGACAGACGGACAGACAGACAGGATGCTGGAAGAACTCCAAGGAAGTTTTGCACTGAAACTTAGTGTCAGCTCTGTGTCCACCTCTCTCAGGCTCATTTGAGGATCCCAGCCATAGTAGTTTATGATGATGACCATGGGCACATCTACACATGCATATTAACGCAGCGCAATAAACTCTGGAGCTTATTGTTCTGGAGTTTATTGCTCTCTGGCACGCATCTTCATGTGCGCCTGGGGACTGCAGCATGTTAAACCAGATTGGAGCACCCCAGCTGGCAGGGGACCTGGGAGTCAGCCTGCCAGCCCCAGGCGTGCTCCTTGAAGCTCAACATGCTGTGGGGAGCAAGCAGGGCATGAGGATGCTCCAGTGCAGGGCTAGCCACCAGGCAGTCCCTGCACTGAAGCACCCTCCTGCCCCAGCTAGCCTGGGCAGTGTCTAAATGTGCACTGCTGTGGAGATTTTTACTCTGCAGCAGGATAGTACTTGTATTTAGTAAAAGTACTATTCTGCTACAGAGTAAATTAGTTTACCTCAGGCTATTAGGGGGCACATGTAGATGCATGCGTGACATTTACTGCACAGTGAATTAGTCTGCTGCACAGTAAACATCTCATGTAGATGCACCTGCTGTGGAATAAAGGGATGCTCAACATGGGCCTTGCATTAGACACAGAGGTCCCAGTCCTACTTGCACTGAAATCTTTCTGCTGTGGTTCCAGTGTCAGGAGGATCAGGCTCAGAGAAAAGGGTAACAGGAGAAAACCCAGAGAATGGAGATTTTGGCCAATCCAGTTGGGCTTAAAAACAAGTTCCTACAAACCCCTACTAGCTACAGCTAGCTACCACCAGAGCCATGTGGAGGAAAGGGGACCCTGCAGAATCCCACTCATGGCAGTAGTCTGGCCATCTGTGTGAGCCGAAAGGTGTGTTTGTCAACGGGGGTGACTTTAGTTAAGTTTTCTATAGGTGTCTGTTTGGGCGCTAGCAGTGGGCTGATGCTGCATGGGTGCACAGACTAGCTGCAGCGAGGTAAAAGGGGCAGGGATTTACCGTGCAGCAGCTGTATCATGGGGACTGCCTCTGTGCACATTCGTACCCCACGCTAGATGAAAGCTGAAGCCCTCAGTGGGAGAACACGGTACCTACTTGGTGTGCACGTGTTCTGCGTTTGCCTAACTTGACTGAAAAAAAACACCTATTTTGCAGGGACCGTGTGACTTAAACACATACTCAGATTTCATTTAATTAAATTAAGTTGCTTGAGTTGTCTGGCACCAAGGCACATGCTAAAATAGACAGTTGCATTTCTCTGGTTTAATGTTTTCTAGGATTGTTAGGAACAAGGGTGTTCAAAATTCCTAAACCATGCTTATGCATTTATTGAGATGTTACACTGAGTAACAGCATGGTTTATTCCTTATTATTATAAACATTGGATTACATGTCCTTCTGCACAGAACCCTGACCTAACTTGCCAAAACAGTAGTGTTTGAAGCTCAAACTGGGGCAAATCTAAAGACACAGAAGGAGTGGAGGACCGGTCCCCTGAAATTCAGGCTCTGTAAGCATCTCAAGCATAACATCAAACATCACTAAACACGTCTGGAAATGGAGGCCAGAACCTGTAATTTGACAGTGCCCCTCTTTATTGTGATATTTCTGTAGGAGAATACTTTTTCCCCCAATCTTGCCCGTGATTATTTCCATGGGAGGAGACCCTGGCATACATTATAGCTGCTTTAGGTCCCTCTGGTGGAAGCTGGCAAGCATAAGTCTTTGCCAAGTTGAGTGATGCAGGCGTGATTCAGTCCCGTTGGTCTGAACTCGAGGGGAAGCCTGGGCAGATGCAAGTACAGCAAAGCGTGCACCTCCGAAGGAACCAAGGTCCCCACTTGCAAATGCAAATCCCAGCAAGTCCATGTGACTACAGCAAGGTGCAATGAGGAGCCTGTGTGCTGTCACTTTGAAGATCAGCATCATGAATGTCAATTCTGCAGTGGAAGCATATATATAGTTCCTATTAATACTAGCAGATCAGCATGGTTATGAAAGGGATGTCAAAGCAGATGCCTTTAATAACCATGTAGTACCAGTGGGTCCATCTACACATGCGCTTTAAGGTGCAGTAGCTTAATTTACTGCGCACTAAAACATCACATAAAAACCTGTGTGATTATGCTAATGTGCAGTAAAATAGGCTACTGTACATTAAGTATCACTTTAAAACCATGCACATTCATTACTGCACATTAAGATCATCTGATGCACATTTTTTTAGTACCTCACATTGGAGGTACTAAATTGAATGTACATTAGAAAAAGTGCCTTCATGCACATGTAGACAAACCCAGTACGCCCAATATATTGAACGCGAGTGTAAGAGACTGTTTCTGCCATTGTAGTGTGCAAAAGCATAGAAAAAACAGAATGCACATAGCACCCCAGACCATTTAGTCTTCCCACCAAAACTGTTACAGGGATGGGTATTAACAAGCGATTTCCACTTCTAGCATTTCAGAAATAAAGATTATGGTGCCCTGGCTGAGTCTTCCTTTCCCCATCTCTATTGGGTCCCTGGTCATTAGCTAACAAGCCTGTAAAACTAGCATTATATAGCAGGGTTTCCTTGTGAAAGAACTGTTGCAGGGAGGAAACAGTCCCCAAATGGGAATACAGATCACTGCAATTCCCCTCCAGACCTTTGCATCAGATTTCCACAGGCAAGGATATCACATCGTCACTAGACCAGTGAGCCACCCAATTAATTGTTTTGTAGACTAGAGCATGGTTTATCTGGACATTGTTAACATTTTCCCCATGACTGGAAATTCAGCCTGCTCCACGGTGATAGTTTCCAAACACCAAAGTAACAGAGGATGACATCTGGTTCAAGGGCCAATAAATGGCCTATGTGGCCCTTCAGTCCTACTTATGCTCACAATAAGGCTTAAATAGGAGTCAGGCTATGAGGAGGGATTTTTCTCCTTATGGAAATAAATAGAAAACCGTGTATTTTTTTCCTTGTACTTTTCCTTTAAACAAAGTTACATGAGAGGTGAGAAAGCCACCAAACACCAGAAACTTTCATAAAATGGAAGAATAGGTTCAACAGCAGGCCCCACATTGCACAATAAATCAATAGTCTTGAAAGTGCCTCCTTTAGAAATGAAAGGAAGCACATAAATAGCCCCATGAGCGAGAGTAATGTGGTAGCAGCTTTGCCATCCTGGTTTTACACACTTCCATTGGGTAGGACCAACCCAGGCTCCATGTGGTTGTCTCTCTGTTTCTGCAGGATAACACCATTGATTTTTTGGAGTACGTGGCCGCGTTGAATCTTGTCCTACGAGGAAAGTTGGAACACAAGCTGAGGTGGACGTTCAAAATGTACGACAAGGATGGGAATGGCTGCATAGACAAACCTGAGCTCCTAGAAATAGTCGATGTACGTAAGATTTCCCTCTGTGATAGTAGTGTTTCAAAGACCCTTCCAAGACCTGGGAATGGGATGTGATGCGCTGTGGACACGCGTATCAAGGACAGACTCTGTCTCAAAGAAGTAACAGTCGGAGTAGACGACATAGTGCGGAAGAAAAGATTAGCATCCCCTGTTTCACAGGGAATAGGAGCTCCGGGACATAAAATGCCCCAGACAACACTCATTACTAGACAGGGAAACTCAGGGCAAGCACCCTGAAATCCTGACCTGCTGTGCAGTTTCACTGCGTCCATGTTATTTACTGTTAGTAAGTCTTTGCACAACTGAATTTCGTTCCTGCAAATGCCTAGAGAAAAGCTATTTTCTCTATGCTGATCAGCACTTACAGGTGAGGCAGGTTAGTCTGGCATGAACAGGAATACCCCTTCAGCATTGGGCCTTCTCCTCTATTTAATTTTTTTCAGTTATCCAGTCAGCACCAGAAACAATATGACGTAATGTAGGTGACCAAGTCATAGGAAGGCAGGGCTGGAAGGGACCTCACAAGGTCATCTAGTCCAGCCCCCTGCTCAAAGCAAAATATCATGAATAACAATGAATGAATAGTCCAAGTCCACAGCTCATGGAAACTCAGTATTTGAAATATTATGGAGCATATTATCAGTAAAACACGTATGAAAAAGGAATATGGCCAAGTCTACATAGCATGGGCACACGGTATGGGTATTAAGCCAGGCAAAACCAGCTCTCCTTTGAAGGGGTTAAGGTTACACCCTCTGGTCTAGCTATCAGGTGCTCATCACTGTTGTATTTGATCCCCCCGATTCTCCTCTGGGAGTGTTTACACGATCTCTCCCCAACTGTGCAGCCACTTAGTCCTTGCAGCCGGCCTGGTAATTAGCTAATAACTTTGCCACGAAAACCAGCTGATCCTTCTTGCTGAGTGAGTCATGGGCAGCCGGTGTGACAAAAAGGCAGGGGCAACTTGGGGAGGGCAGGGAGTCCTGGGCACGTTCAGTCTGGGTTTTAAGGTCAGCAAGAAGTGGGGCAAGGCTCCATCATGTCCTTGCGACCTGCCTAGGAAGATGCCAGACAAAACCCTTCACCCTGATGACCAAAACCAATATAAAGAGGTCTTTGTCCCAAGAGTGGCTGGGGCAAAGAGATAGCATTAGCAAGATACATTTATGGAGGGGAAGCAGAAAAGATCTGTTTTGTTCTGGTGACAGAAAATAGAGCAGAGGCGCTGAGCGGCACGGTGCTTTTGACTACACCACTCCTCAGCTGAGGTTGGCCAGACACTTTATCACACTAATGAATCCCCTCTTAACCTGAGATTATATTGGGGGCCTGCCTAGTACTGCTTCTCATGATCTGCACGAATGTTGATGCTCAAATGCAAGGTCACTGTCATTATTGAGCTTTTCGACAACAGCTGCTGGCTGAAATGCTTTTGTGGCATTTGTATGCAAAGGGTCTGTTCCCACCCAGGCTTCATTAGGTAGCAAAAGCTCCTACTGACTTCCACAGGAGTAGGATTGGGATCAGCACAGCAATCCGTGTAGAGCACTGCTTCTCAAACTATCTGGTGTGGCGGACCGGCAATTTTTTTTCCGCTGGGCCAGGGACCGGTGCCCGGGTCAGCCGGTGGCACCAACTGCCTGTAACAGCGCTACACAAATGCGCGACCGGCTGTTTCTTTCTCTTTCCTCACCTCGCACGACGTGACGTCGCCCGGCGCGTTGGAACATACGAACTGTGCCACTGTGACGTATCAGCGTCATGCTTCTGAGAATATATTTCTTTCTTTCCTGGCAACTCGCTGCGGACCGGCGACCGGTGGCTCGCGGACTGGCACCAGTCCGCGGACCACCACTTTGAGAAGCCCTGATGTAGAGGACTTTGCTGTTATTATTATTGCTATTATTGCTATTGTTATGGGCATCATTATTATTACCTTGGTTGTTTGTTAAAACTTTAAAGTTATATTCTTAAACGACAACAACAGTAATAATAATAAGCTGGGTTGCCTATTGTCCCACACCTTGTGTCATCACTTACACCTGGCATAAGCAGACGTAACATGTACTTTTCTCATGTGGTACTTTATATACATCGTGCGCTCCCTTTTGGCTGATTAAAACGATGGCAAGGCCCCCACATCCAATAGTTGCACGATATGTTTATCCTGTCCATTTTTAGATAGATAGATAGATAGGTAGGTAGATAGGTAGATAGATTGATCTGCCTCCCCCAGATCTGTCACGGACAAGTGTGGTCCTGAGCAAATGATTTTAACTTCTCAGCATGATTTTTCCCACCTGTAACACGCGGGAAATAATACGTCCCTAGTCTGGGAGGAAGCATGGAGTTTAATTGACGTGTGTAACAGACACAGGCAGGTAGCAAATAACTTTAGCAACCCCCTTATATTTTTATCTCTTCCTCCCTCGCTGCGGAGTCCACACTGAAATGTAAAACAAGTATGAACTCTGTGAGACGAAATGGGACGTTTCCCTCCTTTTCATTTGGGTTCATCGGAGACCCACCTGGGCATGCCTCGTGTTGGACACCTTTACCAAGCTAGTCAAGTTAGCAGCCTTTCCAAGAGGCCTCTACATCTCGACCGCTGTGTGAATCGTTGTGTCTGCTAGCATGTTTCTATTCATAAGCTTCTTTCCTTCCAGTCTATTTACAGGCTGAAGAAAGTGTGCCGGGCCGAGATGGAGGAAAGGACCCCGCTGCTCACCCCAGAGGAGGTTGTGGAAAGGATATTCCAGTTAGTGGATGAGAACGGGGACGGTAAGATGTCTATGGTTCACATTGGATTCCTGCTTTACACAAACACACCTCAGCTGGCCAAGCACATTTTAACCAGAGTTTATTGATAATCAGTTCAGAGGAGGAGGATCACCCTACTCGGATTAGACTGACTGGGCCATGTTCCGCTTTCTTACATTAGGACAACTCTGAAGCCACTCCATCAAAGCCAACAAGGAGTGGAGGAGAACGGTCCCCATCATCTTAACATAATAGGATTTTAAAGTGGAAAGTATATTCCATTTTATTCTATTCTGTGTTGATTTTGAAACTGCATCCATCCCAGTCTCTGAGATCATCAGTTACCCCAAAAGGCCGTTGTCCTGAAACCCTTGAATAGTCCTTACTCAAGCCTCGCATTAGCAAGAGTTTGCAGAAAAGGCCTCACACATCTCCTGCTATAGGAGGAGTTATATATCAAGTGAATGTGCTACTTGATCTTAGCCAAAAGCCCCACCCCTGCGATGGGTAGGTCTGAACTTTGTTCTGGCTGTTCGGCCTCGTCTGCAAAGGGAAGTTGCCCAGTCTATAGCTATTCTGGACTAACTCTTCATCTGGACACTCTTGCAAAACAAAAGCAACTTCATTTGAGAATAGTTCACAGATTTTGCAAACTGCCCCTTACAAAGGGGGTAGTTTCAGGCCCACCATGTTAAGGATCTTAAGCCCAGCCCATAATGAGGTACAAAGGACTGGTGCTAAACCGCTGGCCTCATTGTTAAGTTTTCATTTAATGGACAGAATATTATTTTTACTTGCTTTTCTCTTCTTCTTCATGTCCCTTTCACTTCCTGCTGCACTTTCCCTGCCTGCCTCTTTCTTCCTCATTTCTTCTACAGGGCAACTGTCCCTCGATGAATTCATCGATGGGGCACGGAAAGATAAGTGGGTGATGAAGATGTTACAAATGGATGTAAGCCCTGGAGAATGGATCTCAGAGCAAAGGAGGAAAAGTGCTTTGTTTTAATAGAAGCCAATTCATGGTGTGGCTGGAAAGATCTGATGCTGGCCACACTGATGGTTGTGTCACTTTGAGGATGTCATCATCCGCTACTGGTAACTTTTCCTTCGTGACATGATCTCAGCGTCCAAATGAAAACTCTTGAGTAGCTCAAGAAGCCATATTTTTGTATCTAAAACCTGGGCACTGAATGCATGGGGGAGTGCTGGAGACTCCTGTCGACAACGAATAGGTCCCTTTGTGTATATTTCCTCCCGGTTCATCGGCTCACGTTTCTGATTGCACTTTAAAAGGAAATAACTACTGCTAGGATCCTGGAAGGGATAGTACTCTGAGCAGGGCTTGCTAGTCAGACAGCACAGCAGGACTGGAAGGATGCTTCCCTGCTGCAGTGGAATTGCTTTCCTGGTAGCTCAGTGTGCAATGCCTGCAGGGATATGAACATATCAAACCCCAAAAAGCAAAAACCAGTACTTTGATAGCAGACTGAGCTTACTCAGGAGGTGTACTGCAGACCCCTAGCATGTGTGTTTGAGTTATTTAACAAATTATGACAAGTATAACTGCTGCTAATCCAGCATCATTGGGTATCAATATATCCTAATCCAAACTGAAAGTTACATTACAGCTAGTGATACGATATTTTCTCTACTGGAAGCCAAAGCTGTATAAACAGTACAAGAAAATAGATCATAAACAAGAAGTGTATATCTTGGCAGGGCAGATGGAGTACACCTCCTTTTCATCTCCCATTTCTATAGGCCCAACTCTGCTCCCAATTTCTAATCTAGCCACTGATCCAGGGCCGATTTCTTCACGCGCTGCTTCTAGTCTGAAAACACTGAATTTGTAGACATTTCATTGCCACGAACGGCAGTTGGTGTCTGGGAAAAGAAGTGGATGAGAGATCAGCATTATACTTGGCAATTATTTACCTTAATGAGAGCACCAGCACCAGTTTAGCATCATAACTCATAGGATGACACACGTGCGGTCTGTAAGTAGTCTACAAAATCAAGATAGTGAGTTTATGTCAGAGTTTTTAAACTGGCTTTGCAGCCTGAATAACTTATAGTCAGAGAAAAATCATTTGCAAGTAGCCTGTAAACTGAATGTTTGTAAAAAAATGCAGCTAGCTCTGATGGACTAGATTAGACCTGCTACTTTTTTCCCTTACAGGAAAGTAAGTCAAGCCACTTTCACAGGGATATTTGCAATCACTTTTTATTTTTCGTGGCCTTTTACTGCAATGAGCTTACTACTCATTTACCCAATGGTTTGCTGTCCTCTGGATTGACTGGGTGTTTTTTAATTCAGAGAAACGGGAACATAAACAGAATAGGATGCGTTCTGTGCTGCAGTTCAACTGTAAAGCATAACTTTATGCACTTTTTGATTAATCAGATGCTGTGTCAGCCCAGCTGACAGGTACTGTGCAGTAGCAGCTCAGCACCGCATCCCCCAGTAGCTGGCTGAAGCGCGATTGCTTGTCCATACCCTTGTGCAGTGGGTGCATCGTTCCCGTTTTAGAGGTTTATCAGTACAGAGATACTCCCTCATGTGGGGGAAATACTGGGAACAAACACGTCTAGAACTGGAACAAACTAGTTAAGTGTGGGTAATTCCAGACTGTGGATTAGTTGTAAACAGTTTAGAAATCCTGGGCCAGACTTTCAGCCAGCTGAAAAGGCGCAACTCAAATCCCCGCAGTGATTTGTGTCAGCTGAGGATCAGGTTCATAAATAGGATAAGCTGCTATGAGCTGAATGTGGTGTAAGTTAGACTGCAGCAATTTAAACAACCTTCCACTGACTCAGTTCCACTCACACACACAGAGCTTGGTTCTGCACTCCCTCACATCCTGCACGCACGGGCATTTACACAGGCCAGATTTTAACTTTGCATTGGTTTTGTACCAGCGTAACAGCTGGGTTTATCTGCGCAGGGTAGTTACCGTGTGTAAATTTACAGTGCACTAGTGACTCTGCCCAGCTCTCCCATGGGCCATTCTTAGTGCATGCTAAGAGTGCCTTTGTGCGAGGTGCCTTACTCCCCTGTGAGAGTGGAGCAAGCTACCTTGCACTTAGCGTGTGCAAGGAGCGTCCACACAGGGAGTTCGTGCAGAGCAGTAAATTCACCTGCCCGCGGCCTGCCCTGTGTAGGTGGAGTGACTCCTGAGTGACACTGGACTTTATCCAAGGCTCATTCAAGTCAAAACTAGTTTACGCTTACCAATGAAATCCGTAGCCTTTTCCAAATAGCAGAGGAACAGCTTCTGGTTAGGAACGTGAAGGTTTCAAAGGCTCCGGTCTCCACACTCCAATTCAACACACATTATTTTTCACTTCTCCACTCTGGTTTTCATTTTCTGTCAAGTTTACACGTGCTGATATTTTAGTTCTTCTTAAGCTTCCCTAGGCCACTCGCCCTGTCCGACATACATGAGGAGAAATGGTTAAGTACCTCCAGCACAGATAACCACACGCTGGGGCTTTCTTACAGCGGGCACCCTCGTAGCATCAACATTCAGATTTTGTACGACGTGGATTTAATGAAGACTTATTTATTTAATAAGACGGCATGGTTTCTTTCTGTTTGGTTTCTTGCCCCTTTGGATGGAAGTAGTGTAAGGCAGGGGAAAATAAGCTAGCTAGGTATCCCAACCCAGAGAGATCTCTTTGAGTCTGGAAGAATAGACAAGGGAAGTGGTGGGAGCCATGTTTCATAACTAGACTGCACAAGACTGAACAAAGAAATGGCAGAGGGTGATGCTACTACTGCTGGAAGACAGGGCAGGTAAGCTAACAGGTCTGCAGCAGATGACCTGCAGGCAAAGTCAGCTCTGCACACCTCCACCTGGCTCAGCCAGTGGCAGGGTGCACTCCTTTGACTTGCCCAGAGCATTTGTCTTGGCCAAAAATAAGAGCAGCCTGTCTGAGGTGCAGTGGCCAACCTGTGAACTGCCTAACAGGTGTATCATGTACTGTAATGTAACAGGAACTGAAGCTCCCAAAAGGCTCCAAGGGACTCTAGGAATGAACTGTAATGTGGACTACGATTCCCAGAAGGTGGCAGGGGATGGAGGAAGCAGAAAAGCAGAAACAGCACAGGATGCTGCAGCTCTGACGCATGGCCCGAGCCTCGGCAGGAGAGGCAGAGGCAGGACTGCGAGCTGCAGCAACGGGGAGCCCTGGCAGATGGCTGTTAAATGGTTTTGGGACCAGAGGCTGGTTGGGAGCCATCCGGAGCTGTGGGAGGGTTGAAGGTTGCTTAAGTGCTTATGTCGCCGTGTGAGTGTCCCCTACATGTTACTTGTTCTTGGGTGATTTCACCACAATGTCAGTGTTTCTCACCTGTCATCTGCATCCTAAGGGGCTGTACCTTAATGTTCATGGTTATTCACCTGTGCCTGTCCCTTCTCCCTAACCCACTGGCTCATGACCCTAATCCCTAGCATCCCTTATATAAAAGTGGGAACTTCCCTCCCACTTCCCCGTGCCAGGTCCCGGGGTTGCGAGGTTTGGTACACAGGGACAAAGGCAACCTTTGAACTTTAGCCAATTTATGAGTTGCTAATGGGGGCCACTAAATTATTTTCAGGGCACACACCACCCTCCAATGGAGGGAAGTCCAGGCCAGTAGCTATGTAAGCAAAATATTCCCTGGCGACAACAGGATTGCTCTCCAGCGACCAGCGCCTGGCTCCAAATTTGAGGAGTGATTGCATCTTGTGTGCTAGATCAGTGAGCTCTGTGGACTTCCCCAAGTAGATTTGGCCAGCAACATTTAAAAATCTTAAAGGTGGGGGTTTTTTTAAGTAATGTCCTTTAACTTCACTCTTATGCTAGTGAAGTGAGGTTTAAAGGAGAAAGGAGAGACGTGGGTGGCCTGTGTTTGGCTGGTCTCCACAAGCCGAAGTCACTGGGTAGACGGGCACCTGCAACTGCTTCTCGCAGCGCATCGCTCGTCGTGCATCTTCCAGCGTGAAGCCTTGGCGAAGAAAGGCTGCTCAGGGGAAGGAGAAAGAGCTGCTTAGATCTTTTATGGTATTTAGACACTGGCTGGGAGGGGAGAGCAGTCTCTACAAGTAAATTCTGGCTAAAGCAAGAAGTAACGGGCCTGATTTTCCACTCCGTGACACTGGTTTTAAAGTGGATGCGGTGGAGTGGAGACTCCACCCTGATCTCTTGATCTCCTTCTCGCCTCAAAGGTGCTGCCATCTCTTAACAAAAAGTCATCCCGGAGAGACCCTCAGTGCTAAATTACTTCTCCAGTTCCACTTACCCCCCAGGTCAGCTGTTGATGTCCAATACTTCGCATAATCCATTTTCCAGCCTTATGGCCTGACTCAGATTGGATTTGCCTGATCCGATTTTTCACTGACCTAAATTGAGGAGCTGGGAGGTGGGTATCAAGGCTTGGCAATGACAGACACCAACTGATTCTCTGAGCTGACCACCTACTTCTCTGATGCCTGATTCCCCTCAAATTAGACAAGGTGAAACAAGGTGAGAGAGTCAAAAATTTCATGTGAACGAGGCATGGGGGAGAGGTGGCAGAGAACAGCAGCCCAGAAGAGGCATTTACAGGAGCATCAGTGAGCGCTATATGGCTTGTACAAGGCTGCTGAGCCCAGACAAAACCCCTGGTCCAGGTCAGATGCAGACTTGCACCTTGGAGCTTCGTCTGGTGGGGCACAGGGGGCAGATCCTCCATTGGTGCAAACCATCAGAAGTCAGTGGAGATGAGGAAAAAGCTGCCTCCGTTTGCAGAGCAGGGCACATTTAGCAGCGATGAGCGGGCTTTAGGAAGCATAAACCTGCATTAGCGACAGCACGGCAGGGGATGCCTAAAGCCACCCCTGCTGACTAGCAACCGTAGGGCCTGAAAAAGGAGCAGGCTGTGGTCAGGGAGAGAGATGCACCTGCCCATGTGTTGTTTAAGGGGCTCCCGTCCTCATCCCAACTCCTGGCACACGCGGCCTGAGTCTCGGCGCTTGGGCGCGTGGGGGTGGCAGCCGTCAGCCGAGCCCCTCTCCGTAATGCATCAGGAGCAAGAAATCCCCTGTAGAGAGTTTCATGGCAGCCTCTGCCTCCTAAAGGAACAGGGTACCAAAGGGGCCTTTTTTTTTTCTTTTGCATTTCACTCGCGCCAGCCTCTGTTGGTTTCTTCTGGCTGCTTTGTGCATTTCCCACCCTTCGCAAAGACTGAACAGTGGGAAGGATGCAGGGGAAAGGCTTCCTGGGAGAGTTTAGCCCGTGAAAGTGCTGGGAGGTCGGGCTGGGGAGAAGCCCGGGTCTGAGCTCTGCTGTCCCCCCGGCTCTCTGACTACGAGGCCGAGATTCACTTCTGAGCGCAGGGTGAGCAACAGCGCGCTCTGTAACTTCACAGAATCAGACAGTGAGGGTGGAAGGGCCCTCAGGAGGTCACATCCAGTCCTACCCCCTGCTTAAAGCAAGACCAGCCCCAGCTGCATCATCCCAGCCACAGCTTTGTTGAGCTGGGCCTTAAAAACCTCCAAGGATGAAAATTGCACCACCTCTCTGGGTAACCTGTTCCAGTGCTTCACCATCTTCCTAGTGAGAGTTTTTCCTAATATCCAACCTAAACTCCCCTTGCTGCAATTTGAGCCCATTGCTCCTTGCTCTGTCCCCTTCCACCACTGAGACCAGTCCAGCCCCATCCTCTCTGCAGGCACCCTGCAGGGAGCTGAAGGCTGCTATTAAATCCCCCCTCAGTCTTCTCTTTTGCAGAATAAATAAGCCCAGTTTCCTCAGCCTTTCTTCACAAATCATATGCCCCACATGACTTTCCAAATTTTTGAAATGTCCATGAGAAAACTTCCTTCTTCCTAATGTTGCTTGGAGCAGGAAGAGCCAGAACTCACGACGTTATTCCTACCTGCGTCTTACACGCGGGCTACCGTCATTCCTCAGAAGGATTGAGGGATGCGAGTTGCCTTGCTTGGCATCAGCAGGCTGCTGCAATGCGGCTACAGGACAGATTTGTCATCCATATGATTGCGTGTCTATGTGGGGGCAGTATCCTGACCACAACACACACCTGGAAGCAGAAGAGCTCCAGCAGCAGAGGCGTGGGCAGACAGCTGTAGCGATCTCACTAGCATCCAGAGGGTGGCATGACTGCTTCACTGCAGGGACTCGCTGCGCAGGGTAAAACCCCAGTGGTAATCCCATTGCTTTGTGCTCCAGGCATGCAGACATCCCGGCTCAAGCTGTACAGACGCATAACGAGAGATATGTCCTGCCCCAAAGAGCTCCTGACTTAAGCCTACGGTTTGCCAACTTTTCAGAGCCAGGCCCCCTGCCGTAAAGTGGTTTTGGCACCTGACTGACCTCATTTTGGTGGCTCTCAACTAGGTGCCACCACCGCAGCCAGGTGACACAGCTCCACAGGCCTTGTGCACACCCAGCGAAGCAGCTGCCCTTCCTGCAGTCCCTCCCAGTCTGCCCCCCACCTGCCCCACGGCCCGGGGGAAAGGACTGGGAAAGGCCATGGCAGAACCTCTGCCTGAAGAAGGGTGTTTGTGCCTGAAAACTTGCAAAGAACATTTTTTCCGACTATTTCATTGGTCTAATAAAAGATAACATATCTACCCAAAGACGCTTGCCTGGTCATGGCAGGACCTGGCACTCCTGTCTGCTTTAGGTGGATCAGATAACCTCTAATTCAGGCAGGAGAGCGCATAGGTACCGCAGCCCCGTCCTAGCCCAGCTGTTCACGAGGTGCATGGGGCACTTGCACCCAGGTGTGACAGTGCCTCTGTGCTGTGGCCCCCCTGAAAGGGTCTCACGGCACCCCCGATGAGAATCACTATCTAAGCAGACACGATGGACAAGGGGTGCGAGGAAGGGGCTGTTATTTTCCACCAGGGAACCTAGGCACTGGGAGACCAAGGGCCAGGCTTGCCGAGATGCTGACAGGCCCCTTGTGTGATTTGCAGAGGACCCCACTGAGCTGGCCCTGAGGCACTTTGAAAATCCCAGGAGCCTCAGTGCATTTAGAAATCGGGCCCCAATGACTTGCCGTGGGTCACTGCGCAAGCGAGTCAGAGCTGGGAACCAAGCTGACGTCTCTGAGTTCCTGCCTGCAGTTCTTGCTGAACCAGCTCCTTGA